GTCAGGAGGGAAGCCAAGAAAGACACAGGGAACGGCACGGGAGGACAGCTTGTCCGCTGTAGTATCGCGGACAAAAGCTCGAGATCCCCAGACACGGAACGCGGACGCATCGCCAACCTTCCCCGTCCACCGCAAAGTAGGTGTGGTCTCCGGCAAGGAGACACGAGGCTGAAGGTTGATCTGATGCGCAGCGTACTGAACCGCGAACGGCCACAGAAAGTGGGGAGCAGCCGCATGGATCATGGACGTACGAGCGACATCCATGACCATGCCAATGCGGCGCTCAGCAATCCCATTTTGCTGCGGGGAGGCCGGAAGCGTGAACGTCTGGCGGATGCCCTCCAAACGACAGAAGGCTCTCAGAAGGTCAGAGGAAAACTCCCCCCCTCTGTCTGAGTGCAGACGCAAAACAGGAAGGTCGGAGCCGAAACTCTCACTAAGCTGGCGACGAGCACCGCGGATCCAGTCGATCAACACCTTAGTGACCTCACCCTTGCTGCGCAAGGGGAAGACTGTGGTGTAACGCGAGTAGTCGTCAACGACCAGCAGGAAGTAACGCTCGTGACCCTGTCCACGAACGCGGGCTGGGCCCCACACGTCCATGTGAAGAGTCTGCAGAGGGGCCTCAGTCAGAGGAAACGAGGAGGAGTGAGGAGCGGCGCGCTGCCGGCCCTCGACACAAGGAACACAGGTGGGGGCAGGCCCCGGAGGAAGGGGAGGTAGGGACCTGGGGAGTCCAGAGACAAGAGCACGGGAGGCCATACCTCGAAGACGAGGCAGGGAGGGGTGACCAAGGCGGTGGTGGCAAAGGAGAGTCTCGTGCACCAGAGGACGACACGAGCAGGGGGCAGACGCACGACTAGACCTGGACGCGGCAGCAAACACCTGACTGGACGCAGCTACCTGACCAGACGCAGGGACCGGAGGAGGCGCAGTAGTCAGTGTGTACAGACTCGACCCTGGCCAACGGGTGAACGTGGCCAGGTGGCGGCCCGTCCGAGAGCAAGTGCAGTGGGTCACACGCTGACCTCCAGGGGTGAACTGGTCAACCCACGCGTCCTGGAGGTCAGCTCCACTCACCAAGTTCGTAGAGAACGAGGGGAGGTGGAGTCCCGACAGCAAGCCCGACGGGGCCGCAAGACACGGTAGAACCGTGGAGGAGTGTGCAAGGACTGGGCCCCCGGAGGGGTCAGCAAGGGAGACCGCAACAGGCCGACTGAGCGGCGTGAGCGTGGTGCTGTCTCTAAAGAAAGAGCGCGAAGCACCAGAGTCAAGTGTGAAGGTGTGAAAGGACTCAGTAGGTGCAGTACCAGAGAGAGGAGACGTACCAGCACCTGGAGAAGCAGACGCACTAGCACCTAGAGCAGCAGCCGCACTAGCACCTAGAGCAGCAGCCACAGTGCCCGGGTCGGGCGGGACACGCAGGTAACAGTCACCCTCAGTAATATCAGCAAAATCATACATGGCAGCAAGGATAGCATCAAAGTCTCGATCAAAGATAGGCACATTCTGCAGAAGCAGATCATGCCAACGAGGAAGCTCAACAGCGTCAGGAAACTGGGCACGCCAAGCGTCAGTCAAGCGGCCGAAGCAGCGCTGCGTGGTGTGTGGGAGACCACACACCTCCCCACTCCGAGTGCCGGTGCGAAGAACGTAAGAGCAGGGACCCGCACCCCAAGACCTCCCACGCCCAGCGTACCACTCACGAAGCTGCTGAACCGACGGGGTCTCACGGGTGCGCTGCAGCTGCTGGCGCTGGCTGCCACCAAGGCCTCCACGCGGCGTAGCTGCACCGCGACCAGCACCACCTCCTCCGCTACCTCCACCACCGCTGCCGCCGCCTCCACCCCCTCCGCCACCGCCGCCACGGCCTCCACTGCCGCCACCGACTCCCCCGCTCCCGGTACCACCCCCACCACCACCGCCACCTCCTCCACCGCCTCCACCGCTTCCCCCACCGCCCCCTCCACCACCCTTGCTTCCCTTGCCCTTGCCGGTGCGGCGTCGCCCACTAGAGGCAGACGCAGCGCCGACCTCCTCAGTGCCAACGAGGTCGACAGCAGCAGCAGAGGCAACAGAGGGGAGAAGGGGGACAGGGGAACACCCCTCAAAGAAGGGGGTGCGACGGTCGCACCTACAGCTAAGATACTCTTCTCAGCTGCAGCAAGGCGCTCCTCTAGCAAGTCGACAGTCAGCTCGGTGGGGCAAAGGGAGAGGAAGTGATCCCTGACTGAGGAGAGAGAGTCAGGGAGGCGGGTGACTAGGTAGTAAAGGGTGATGTACATGGGGGGGGAGTTTGTGGGAAGAAACTCAGTGGGAAGGGCAGCGCGGTAGCGAGTGTCACTAGTGCGGAGGTGAGTAACTAGGTCAGCAACTGTGGCAAAGGCGGCAAGATCAGGAAAAAGGTACGGCAGCATGAGGCGGCTGAGGGCAGCAGTGGTAGGGGAGGAGTAGCGTGCAACTACAGCGTCGTACAGAGCCCTAGCACTCTTGTACTGACTAAAGTGCGCGCGCTCAGTAGACGGCAGGTGATTGCGCACAGCAAGATGAGCAGCAGCATCGCGCGTGAGCCACTGCGAGCGAACAGTACTGTCAGCATCAGCAGCAGGGGCAGTAGAGGCGCCAGACGTGAGATCGAACAGTGAGAGGCCATCCTTGCTATCGCACTGTAGGAAAAGCTGCAGATCATCTAGCCAGACCTCAGAGTCAACAGCTCGACCCTCAGCATGAAAGGTAAGAACATTGAGACTAGCCATGACAGGAGCAGCAGTACGCTAGCAGCAGCAGCAGTGCAACTCGGCAGGGCAGGCTAGGCAGGGCGGAGCGGCTCGGCAGGGCGGCACTCTTACCAGTGGCGAGGCCGGGGCAGGGCCGGGGTAGGGCCGCGACAGTGCAGGAGCAGGGCAGGGGCAGGGCCGGGGCAGAGCCGGGGCAGGGCCGGGGCAGAGCCGGGGCAGGGCCGGGGCAGGGCCGGGGCAGGGCAGGGGCGGGGCCGGGGCAGAGCTGGGGCAGGGCCGGGGCAGGGTCGGAGCAGGGCCGGGGCAGGGCCGGGGCAGGGCCGGGGTAGAGCCGGGGCAGGGCCGGGGCAGGGCAGGGGCAGGGCCTGGGCAGGTCCGGGGCAGGGTCGGGGCCGGGCCTAGACAGGGTCGGGGCGAGGGCCGGGGCAGAGCCGGAGCAGGGCCGGGGCAGGGCCGGGGCAGGGCCGGGGCAGGGCCGGGGCAGGGCCGGGGCAGGGTCTGGGCAGGTCCGGGGCAGGGTCGGAGCAGGGCCGGGACAGGGTCGGGGCCGGGCCTAGACAGGTTCGGGGCGAGGGCCGGGGCAGGGCTGCAACAGGGCTGCAGCAGAGCCGGCGCAGGGCCGGACGGGGCCTAACGGGGCCTGACGGGGCCTGAAGAGGCCTTACGGGCCTTACGGGGCCTTAAACGGGGCCTGACGGGGCCTTACGGGGCCTTACTGGGCCTTAAATGGGGCCGTAAACGGGGCCATACGGGGCCTTACGGGGCTCTACGGGGCCTTAAGGGGCCTTAAACGGGGCCTTACGGGGCCTTACGGGGCCTTACGGGGCCTTAAACGGGGCCTTACGGGGCCTTAAACGGGGCCGTACGGGGCCGTAAATGGGGCCTTAAGGGGCCTTACGGGGCCTTACGGGGCCTTAAACGGGGCCTTACGGGGCCTTAAACAGGGCCGTACGGGGCCATAAACAGGGCCTTACGGGGCCTTACGGGGCCTTACGGGGCCTTAAACGGGGCCTTACGGGGCCTTAAACGGGGCCTTACGGGGCCGTAAACGGGGTCCGACGGGGCCTTACGGGGCCTTACGGGGCCTTGCGGGGCCTTACGGGGCCATACGGGGCCTTACGGGGCCTTACGGGGCCTTAAACGGGGCCGTAAAAGGGGCCTTACGGGGCCTTACGGGACCTTACGGGGCCTTACGGGGCCTTAAACGGGGCCTTAAGGGGCCTTACGGGGCCTAACGGGGCGGGCGCTGGCTCTAAGGGCAGGCGCAGGGGCCGCGATGGGCCTCGAAGGGAAGGCGCGACGCGCGCGTTAAGCAGGCAGTGAAGAATTTCAGTGGTGGGCCCTTTTTAAAAATTCTCGAAACTAGCTCTATACCATGTGAGAATGATAGACGAAAGAATGAATGAACTAGAAATGGGATGGGTACAAATAGGAAACACATAAGTGTTGTACCCTCTAAGAGCTACCCCACTACAGCCTAAATAGACCATAGCAGATATAAGTTTGACAACTGGAGCACAGAACGAAGCACATTGCTCTGCGACACTTCCTTGCTCGAGAGTTGCAGCAGCGTGGCTAGCTTCGTCTTGCGTACGTGGCCACTAGGGCCAACACTGCTGATATATTCACCAAGGCACTTCCACCTGGTGATCATCAGCGCTTCTCTACTGTGTTAGGCCTTGTGCCTACTTGCCTCACTTGCTCACTGCGTGACTTTGCTTGTACTGTGATCTATATATATACATGCATGCTTACACTTGCTAGGGTATGATCACTGTATTGTTTGTTCTCTTTTATATAACTCTACATGTCAACTAGCCTTGTGGCCCTTTGCTTGTGCTCGGACTGTGTGGTGACTTTGTGATCTACCCTAAGCTTGCTTTGCTTTTCTTGACTGGTCTTGTGACCACTTGTTCTCCCCCTCTTTGCCTATGGGGGTGTGTCAGAATATTATATTGCTTACAATTGTGTAGGCTATAATGGGGTAGCCCATAAGGGGTACAACCCAGTTAGGGTTAGTATTTGTACCCAACTGTTTCATAGTTCATTCATTCTTGTTCGTTATTTTGACAAGTACAACCCATTTAGGGTTAGTACTTGTACCAACTTTCTGTTCAATGCACTCATTCTCGTTCAGTATTCTGACATGGTTTCAGAGCAGGTGCTGTTCTAGGACCGTTTTTTTTAAGGGCCCACCAGATAGCGCTGCCCCACAAGTCGCACTGCCCTGCTCCGCCCTGCTCTGCCTGTCGCGCCGCCCTGCTAGCCGCGCGTCGCCCTGCCCTGCCTGTCGCGCCGCCCTGCTGGTCGTGCGTCGCCCTCCCCTGCCTGTCGCGTCGCCCCGCTGGCCGCCGCGCCACCCTGCCCTGCCTGCGCGTCGCCCTGCCCTGCCCGCGCGCCGCCCTGCTTGCCGCCGCCCTGCTGCTCGCACCGCCCTGCTGCTCGCGCCGCCCTGCTGCGCGCAACCCTGATGCCCGCACCGCCCTGCTGCTGCCCGCCCTGCTGCGAGCCGCCCTGCTGTCCGAAGCCCTGCTGCCCGCGTGCCGCCTTGCTGGCAGCCGCAACGCCCTGCCCTGCCCGCGCGCAACCCTGCCTTGCCATTGCACTGCCCTGCCCTGGCCGCTCGCCGCTCTTCCCTAGCTGTGCGCCGCCTCGCCCTGCCCTGCGCGCTTCCCTAGTGCTCGTGCGCCGCCCTGCTTGTCTGCTGCCCTGCTGGTCGCGTGCCACCTTGCTCTGCCCGCTATGGCTTTTCTCAGTGTTCTCACCTTCGATCATGAGGGTGTCCAATCCAGTTCGATACGTGGCTCGACGAATTACAGCTGTACCTACTAAGCGATTCTAGAGACAGCATTTTGTTGTTTGACCACACGTCTGGAGCCTCTCTCGCCCCTACCGCCACAGCTGACAGTGCGACTCGCTCATAGTGGCTTACCCGTGACGTTGCTGCTCGCTTAGCCGTTCGCAACCACCTGCTGTTAGCCGAACGCGCTCACTTTGGCCAGCACAAGACTTCTAAAGCCCTGTACGACGGTGTAGTCGCTCGTTACTCTTCCCCTGCCACTGCTGCTCTCGACCGCCTTATACTGCCCTACCTTTTTCCCCAGCTGTCAGCCTTTGCCACAGTCGAGGACCTCATTACCCACCTTCGCACTAGTGTCACTCGCTACCGCACTACCCTCCCAGCCGAGTTCCTAGACAAGAACCTGCCCCCGATTTACATCACTCTCTACCTCATAGTCACCCGCCTACCTGACTCTCTTCGCGCAGTCAGGGACCACTTTCTCGCAATTGATCCCACAGACCTCACTGTCGACGTGCTCGAGAAGCACCTCCTTGCAGCTGAGACTAGCGTGGTCGCTGTAGGTGCTGCAAGTGGCACTCCTCGCACACCCTTCTTTGAGGGGTGTTCCCCCTCCCCCCTTGCCCCCTCCTACGCTTTTGCTCCTGCTGTTGACATCCTTGGTGCTGAGGATGTCGGGGCTGCTTCTGCTCTTAGTGGGAACCGCCGCAGCGGCAAGGGCAAGGGTGGCAAGAGCGGTGGCGGTGGCAACGGGGGTGGTGGTGGTGGAGGCGGTGGAGGCAGTGGAGGCGGTGGAGGTGGCGGAGGTGGTGGAAGCGGTGGGAGTGGTGGCGGGAGTGGGGGCTTCGGTGGCGGCGGTGGTGGCAGCGGTGGGAGTGGGGGTGGCGGTGGTGGCGGCAGTGGGAGTGGTGGCGGCGGCAGTGGTGGCGGTCGGGGTGGAGCTTATAAGAGGGGAGGTTCTCGCAGTGGCCAGAGGCAGCAGCAGCAGCATCGGAGCGAGACCCCTACGCCCCAGCAACTTCATGAGTGGTTTGCTCAGCGTGGGGCGTCTGGGAGTAGTGTTCGCTGCCCATATGTCATTCGCACAGGTGACCGCGCTGGTCAGACATGCGGGAAGTTTCACACACAGCACCGCTGCTTCTCCCACCTTGACGACGCTTGGCGCGCAAAGTTTGGTGACAAGGCTGAGTGCCCCCGCTGGCTAGAGCTGCTTAGGTGTGGTGTTGATATCTTTGCTCTTGACTATGATGCTATCCTTGCTGCCATGTATGCCTTGTCTGTTAGTGCTGAGGGTGACTATTACCTGTGTGTTCCACCCGACCCAGGTATAGAGGCTGCTGCTCTAGGTGCTAGTGAGTTTGTTCTCCCTGGTACTGCGCCTGCTGAGGCCTTGCACACCTTCACACTTGACTCAGATGCCTAACGCTGTTTCTTTCGCGACAGCACCACCCTCACTCCTCTCTCTGCACCTATACTGGTCAAGCTGGCTGACCCCTCAGGGGGCCCAGTTCTTTCACGTTCCTTCACTGTTCTCCCGTTTCCGGCGGTTCCGTCTGGCTCACTCTCAGGTCTTCACCTCCCCTCGTTCTCTACGAACTTGGTGAGTACCGCTGCCCTCCAGGATGCAATGGTCACTACCACCACTCTTGGGGGTCAGTGTGTGTCGATCTACACGTGTACACGGACGGGCCGTCACCTGGCCATGTTCACCCGTCGGCTTGGGTCGAGTCTGTACACACTGACTAATGAGCCTGCTCAGGTAGCTACTTCTGGTCAGGTGTCCACGTCAGGTCATGTAGCCGCCCCCTGTTTGTGTCGCCTCCTGTCGCACCAGACTCTCCTTTGGAACCGCCGCCTTGGTCACCCCTCCCTGCCACGCCTTCGTGGCATGCACTCCCACCTCCTTGTTTCTGGTCTTCCCAGGTCTCTGCCTCCCTTACCGCCCTCGCCTGCCCCGCCCTGCCTTCCTTGCGTCGAGGGGCGGCAGCGCGCCGCTCCTCACTCCTCCTCATTTCCCCCGACGATTTCTCCCCTGCAAACTCTCCACATGGACCTGTGGGGCCCAGCCCGCGTCAGTAGACAGGACCGCGAGCGCTAATTCCTGCTGGTTGTTGACGACTACACGCGTTACACCACAGTCTTCCCCTTGCGCAGCAAGGGTCAGGTCCCTCATGTCTTGATCTCTTGGATCTGTGCAGTTTGTCTCCAGCTCCGTGAGTGGTTCTGTGAGGATCTTCCTGTCCTGCGTCTGCAGTCTGACAGAGGTGGTGAGTTCTCCTCCGACCTCTTGCGAGACTTTTGTCGTGGGGAGGGCATCCTTCAGTCGTTCACGCTTACGGCCTCCCCGCAGAAAAATGGGGTTGCTGAGTGCCGCATTGGCTTAGTCATGGAGGTCGCTCGTAACTCCATGATCCATGTGGTTGCTCCCCATTTTCTGTGGCCGTTTGCGGTCCTGTATGCTGCGCATTAGCTCAACCTCTGGCCCCGTGTCTCCTTGCCGGAGATCTCGCCTACACTACGTTGGACGGGGAAGGTTGGCGATGCGTCGGTGTTCCGGGTCTGGGGCTCTCGTTCCTTTTTCCGCGATACTTGTGCGGACAAGCTCTCCTCCCGCGCCATTCCGTGCGTCTTCCTTGGCTCTCCCCCTGACGCGCCTAGCTGGCAGTTTTACCACCCCACCTCACGCCGTGTCCTGCCCTCTCAGGACGTCACGTTTGACGAGTCGGTTCCCTTTTACCGTCTCTTCCCCTACCGCACTACCCCTCTTCCCCCCCCTGCCGCTCTTCCTCGCTCCAGATCCCCCTCCGGTAGACCCCCTCCCCCCTCAGGGTCCTGCTCCCTGAGGTGTATCTTAGGTAGACCCACTCCCCCTGGCTGAGCCTGTCGAGGTCACTGTAGACTCAGGTGCTACAAGGGGTGCTGCGTCTGGGGTGTTGTGTCTGGGGGTGCTGCGTATGGGGGTGCTGAGCGTGCGAGTGCGGAGCCTGGGGATGTTGAGCCTGAGGGTGTGGAGCCTGGGGGTGCTTAGTCTGAGGGTGCGGAGTCTGGGGGTGCTGAGCCTAAGGGTGCAGAGCCTGGGGGTACTGAGCTTGAGGGTGCAGAGCCTGGGAGTGCTGAGTCTTAGGGTGCGGAGTCTTGGGGTGCTGAGCCTTGGGGTACTGCGTCTGCCGGAGGTCCTGCGGGTGCCTCGCCACGACTGTCTCACCGACGGGAGTGGTTTGCTCACCGCTTACGCCTTAGGAGTGGCACTGCAGGAGGTGGAGGCCCTGCCGCTGGAGGCACTGGAGCTGGAGGTCCTAGAGGTCAGTCTATGGTCTTCGCTAGGCGCCTCGCGAATGGCACGAAACACTGAGGACGATGATTGCGGCTCTTGGGTTTGCTCCTTCGACTGCTGACCCGTCGCTGTTTCTGCGCACCGACACTTTGCTGCTGCCGTTCTACGCCCTCAAGTACGTCAACGACTTGGTTTTTGCCACTGCTGACACAGAGGTACTTGCCCGTGTGAAGTCGGAGCTGCAGAAGAGAACACCTGCACTGACCTGGGTGAGCTGCACAACTATCTTGGCTTGCAGATCACCCGGGACAGAGCACGGCGCTCCATCACCCTGACTCAGTCACACATGGTGCACCAGGTCCTTCAGCGCTTCGGCTTCTGGTACTCCTCGCCACAGTCCACTCCTTTGCCTACCGGTCACTCGCTCTCAGCTCCACCTTCGGATGAGTCCGTAGAGCCAAGTGGCCCGTATCCAGAGCTTGTGGGCTGCCTCATGTACCTGATGACCTGCACTCGACCTGAACTTGCCTACCCTCTTAGCATCCTGGCACGCTACGTTGCGCTCGGGAGACACCGACCAGAGCACTGGGAGGCCGCTAAGAGGGTGTTGCGCTACTTGTGCAGTACGTCGGGCATGGGGCTCGTGCTTGGAGGACGGGGTCTAGTTGTCCTCACTGGCCACGCGGACGCTTCTTGGGTTGGCGAGTTGGCTACGCAGCGGTCGTCACAGGGTTACACTTTCAGCCTTTGCTCTGGCTTTGTTTCTCGCTCTTCTTCTATTCCCAGTTCCAGTTGTGAGGCTGAGATCTACGCCGGGGCCATGGCTGCACAAGAGTTACGCTGGCTCACCTACCTGCTGATCGACTTGGGAGAGCGGCCTCGTTCTTCTCCAGTTCTGTACGTTGACAACAAGGCCATGATTGCCTTGTGTCAGGAGCACAGACTGGAGCACAGAATGAAGCACATCGCTTTGCGTTACTTCCTTGCTCGAGAGCTGCAGCAAATTGGTCGGCTTCATCTTGCTTACGTGGCCACCCAGGCCAACACTGCTGATATATTCACCAAGGCACTTCAGTCTGGTGATGATCAGCGTTTCTGTACTGTTTTAGGTCTTGTGCCTACTTTGCCTCACTTGCTCACTACGTGACTTTGCTTGTACAGTGATCTGTATATATACCTGCATGCTTACTCTTGCTAGGCTTTGATCATTGTACTGCTTGTGCTCTTTATATAACACTGCATGTGAACTGGCCTTGTGGCCCTTTGCTTGTGCTCAGACTGTGTGGTGACTTTGTGATCCACCCTGAGCTTGCTTTGTTTTTCTTGACTGGTCTTGTGACCACTTGTTCTCCCCCACTTTGCCTATGGGTGTGTGTCAAAATGTTATAATGCTTATATTGTGTAGGGTGTAGTGGGGTAGCCCATAAGGGGTACAACCCAATTAGGGTTAGTACTTGTACCAACTTTCTGTTGCCCTGCGCGACCCTTCTGCCGGCGAGCAGCTCCTGCCCCAGCGCGCCCTGTCTGCAGGGTTGCGTTTGCAGGGTTTGCGCCCTACTTCCCTGCGTGTCGCGCCCTGCGGCAGCTCGCGCGTCACGCTCTGCTGTTCCGCACGTCGTACCCTAATACAGCCCGCACGTCGCGCCCTGCTTCCCTGCGCGTCGCGCCCTACTGCAGCCCGCGCGTCGCGCCCTGCTGCAGCCCGTGCGTCGCGCTCTGCTGTTCCGCGCATCGCGCCCTACTGCAGCCCGCGCGTCGCGCTCTACTTCCCCGCGCGTTGCACCCAGCTGCTGCCCGCGCGTTGTGCCTTGCTGCCCTGCACAGCGCGCGCCCTGCTGCCTGCGCCGCCCAGGCTGAGCCGCGGCGCCCAGCCCGAGCCGCCGTCCTGCTACTACTGCTGCTGCTGCTGGTGGAGGTGCTGCTGGGAGTGCTGGAGGTGCAGCCGCCCAGCCCCACCGAGCCGCCCTGCTGCTACTACTGCTGCTGCTGCTGCTGCTCGTGCTACTGCTGCTGCTGGTGGAGGTGCAGCTGGGAGTACTGGAGGTGCTGCTGGTGCTGGAGGTGCTGGACCTACTAATGACCGTCACTGCCTCCCATGGCCACTATCACGGCAGTTGCAGCGGCTAGGGATGGACAGCGGTGGTCAGCGCCTCTCCCGGATGACCCCACCCCTCAGCAGCTTCATGAGTGGGTTATTCAGCGAGGCAATCCTGGTGGTGGAGGTTTTGGTTTTATCTTGCCTCAGCGACCTCGCGACTGTGCTTCTCAGCAATGCATCCCTAGTCGTGTAGAGGCTGCTGCTCTCGGTTCTAGTGAGTCTGCTGCCGCTCCAGGTGCTGGTGAGTCTGCTGCAGCTCTAGGTGCTCATGAGTCTGCCGACGCTCTAGGTGCTAGTGCGTCTACTGCCACAGGTCCTGCCTCAGCTGAGGTCTTGCACACTTTCACACTAGACTCAAGTGCGTCACGTTGCTTCTTTCGTGATTGCACCACAGTCACACCACTCTCAGCACCTGTCCTAGTCTTACTGGCTGACCCCACTGGGGGCCCAGTAGTTGCGCGAGCCTCCACTGTCCTTCTGTGTCCGGCAGTCCCCTCTTGGTCTCTCTTAGGTCTCCACCTCCCCGCGTTCTCGACGAACTTGTTGAGCAACGCAGTTCTCCAGGATGAATGGGTTGACACCTTCATTCCTGGAGGACAGTGTGTGGCGATCTGTAAGTGCTCACGGACTGGCCGCCACCTTGCTACGTTCACTCGTCAGCCTGGGTCCGGTCTGTACACCCTGACCACTACGTCTGCACAGGTGGCTGAGTCAGGTCAGGTGGTTGCGTCGAGTCGGGTGTCTGCGTCTGGTCAGCTTGCAGCGTCTCGCTTGTTGGTGTAAGGGCCTAATAAACTCAGGCTATTAAGACGTTATCCAACTTAAAACCTCTCCTCGGGGTCACCTCCAAGGGTCCTTGGGTGCTTGGTACAAGACCAGCCCCTATCCTCGGGTCCGAGTTTGTAGAGAGAGGGATCAAGAGGGACTTAGTCAAAACAGCAAGAGTACCTTGAATGTCGCGCAGCGTGCAGTGCAGACCGTCGATCGGATTAAGCTGAGAACTCGCTATATCGAAGCTCACCCTAAGAGCTTTCAAAAGAGCCAAGTTGCCTCGCGAAAAGTTCTGCCATTGCAGAGTTACGAAATGGACAGCGTTGGCCTAGCGTTGAAGTGCTAGCGTACTAGCGTTGACTCGGTAGCATTCTGCCGTCGAACCGCGTGGATACGAAATTCCAGCAAGGAAGGAATTCGCTTGAATCAATTTGAATATATTCAGGTACAAACAGAGAAGGAATATATAGTTCTAGCTAGCAAGGACCTTGGGAATCAACCTGGGAACAACCAGGGATGATCCCAAATAATTCCAAGCAACAGAACCAACCTGGCTGGACAAAACAGCAGGTGGTAGGTTGGTGAACAACCTCTGGTTCTGTTTTTCCAACCTGGAAAAACAACAACCAGGTTCAGGTCCTAAAAACAGAACCTGTTTTGTCTTTGCCCAACCAGCCAAATGCTAGTTCCGCTGGTTTCCCCTGGCCCTGTAGCATGCAGATACAGACAAACAACATCCAACCTTCACCTAAATTCTACCCCTATAGTGCCTGCCCTGCTACACTATAGTCAACCAAACAAAACAGTACAAGTTCGAGTTGGATAGAACTGAATCTGCGCACTCAATTAAACCGAACTGCAAAGCTTCCATCTTGGGTTCCTTTGCGAGCTCGTCCTTTCTGCTTGCACTGTTCATAGCGCGTACAATGTTGTGCCAAAGCGCACATTGCGCGAGTACCTGCAAATGCATCAAGCAAAAATTGCGAAAACAAACAAACACACGAACATTCCATTCACACCCAAATGCATTCGCACACGCATACTCGTACAAACAGACGGCAGGATGTCGTGCAATGTGAATTTGCACCCAACATCGCTCGTGTCAGGTACTCTCTCACCAGGCTCTCCTCTAGCACCACCACCTAGGTCACCCCTCGCTGCCGCGTCTCTGCATCATGCACTCCCGTCTCCTTGTCTGGCCTTCCTAGGTCCCTGCCCTCCCTCCCGCGCTCACCTGCCCCGCCGTGCCTTCCTTGCGTTGAGGGGCGGCAGCGCACCGCTCCTCACTCCTCCGAGTTTCCTCCGACCACTGCTCCTCTGCAGACTCTCCACATGGACGTTTGGGGCCTGGCCCCCGTCGGTGGGACGGACCAGGAACGCTGCTTCCTGCTGGTTGTTGACGACTACACACGCTACACCAATGTATTCCCCTTCCAGCGCAAGGCGGACGTCAGGGGTGTTTTGATCCCTTGGATCCGAGCTACTCGTCACCAACTGCGCGAGCAGTTTCGTCGGGACTTCCCAGTCTTGCGTCTGCACTCCAACAAGGGCGGTGAGTTCTCTTCTGACCTCCTTGCGGAGTTCTTTCGAGACGAGGTCATCCGCCAAACGTTCACGCTTCCGGCCTCTCCTCAACAAAATGGGATTGCTGAGCGTCGCATTGGCTTGATCATGGAGGGTGCTCGCACCTCCATGCTCCATGCGGCTGCTCCCCTGTGGCCATTTGCGGTCCGATACGCTGCGCATCAGCTCAATCTCTGGCCCCATGTCTCTGAGCCAGAGACCTCGCCCACACTCCGGTGGACGGGGAAGGTTGGCGATGCGTCAGTGTTTCGGGTCTGGGGCGCGCTCTCCCTTGTTCGCGATGCCAAAGCGAGCAAGCTCT